GCTCCTCGAGATACTGTAGTGCCCTCCCCTGCCCTTCCCCCTTGTGTCCAGCCCCCTCATGCTTACACCTCCCAGCGTCCTCTGTAACCCATGTTGGTCAGTATCTACTTCCTCTAAGGCCCACGGAAGCTTCTGCCCCGGGCCTCTGCTGGAGGATCTCAGTCTGGGTTGTATACTGCTGGACCCTGAGAGCCATAGCAGTGGCATGGGGGAGGGCTCAGTCAGTCTTCACTCAGCAAGTGAACGAACGCCAGGTTCCAGGAGTCCGGATGGACACACGGGAGGTCAGCTGCTCTGGAGTGGAGGTGCCACGACGTTTAGAAACCATCAACCCTCCCGCCAGAAGGCTGGGCTGGATAGAGACCCAGAGGCCATGCCACTCAGGCCCATCAGTGAGTTCACAGGTCACCTGAAGGGCACCTCTCCCCGAGGAGTCAGGAGAAGCTGCCACTGCCAAGCAAGGGTGCCAGTGGGGAGAGCAGTGAGTGGAAATGGCGGCAGCCTCAGCGAGTGCCGACCGCACTGTGCCTTATTCCATTTGATTTTCCCAGTGAGCCACCTACGGTCTCAAGACTTCTGTCTGTGGATGGGGCTGCCTGGGCTCCCGGGTGCTGAGGAAGGGGCCTGAGACCACCGCTAATGGAGGACCCAGCACAGGCCAGCCTGACACGGAAGCCCGTTCCCGGCTCGCCTCCACCGTCCTGGGCGTCCTCAGCAACCAGAGAGCCGCAAGGTCTTCCTGCGGGCAGGCCCTCGCTCCACACCTTTCCTCTGCTTCCCACCAGAGCCCACCTGGACACGGTGATGAGACAGGCGGAAAATTTCCTGGGCCATGAACAAGGTCTTCGAGTCCATCACCAGGTACAGCAGGTGCAGGAGGGCGAGGAAGCCCGCCCCTCTCAGGTCTGTGGCTGGATTTGCTCCTGTAACGGAAACCCCAGGTATGCTGCTGAGCCAGGCTGCACCGAGCTCAGGGCCTGGGGTGCCAGGCTGCCCTGACAGTGGCTGTTTCCCTGGGCCAGAGGGGCACGAGACACACGGGTGCACTTCCTGCCACGCTCTGTGACCGGCAGCGTGAGACTATCCACGCACGCTGCTGGCACCCCAGGGCAGCCTCCAGCACCGCGCTCTCATGTTCCTGCGGGCTGCAGCAGGCACTTCTCTTCACAAACACCTGTGAAGTCCTCTGCAGACACAACCTGATGGGGCTGGGCATGGGGGAGCACGCCTGTCATCCCAGCACTCAGGAGGGAGGCTGACGCAGGAGGACTGCTGCCTGAGGCCAGCTCGGGATACATGTAGTGAGCTCAAGGCCAGAATGACCTACAGAGGGTGGAGAGGAGACAGCTGCCTCGGGGCCTGGAGCACCAGGCGACACTACAGAGAGCTGCCTGCTTCCTCCTCCCTCACAGGTTCCACCTGAGTCCTGCAGAGGCAGCAACCCGGCAATGCCAATGGGAGCACGCCGTGGCTTGAATGTGGATCCTAGGTTCATTTTTTTTTTTTTTTTTTTTTTTCTCTGAATGCCTTCTGGGCAGGTTTGGCTGGCGTGAGTTGTGGGGATTGAACCACAGCAACCTGAGCCTGACTGCTTTGTTGAAGCAGCCACTTAAAGAGCTGAGCTAAGGGGCAGGCCCCCCTCAGGCTGGTTTTGATCTCACTGTGTCGCCCAGGGTGGCCTCAAAGTCATGATCCTCCTGCCTCAGCGATTATAGGCGTGTGCCATAAGGAGAGTAAGAGAGGCCTGAGCTGACATACGTCACCCCATTTTGCCCTGCGGTGCACTCCTTGTCCCATATTACACTGCAGTAAGAGGCCCTGAGGAGATGCAAGCAGGTGTTGCGCTACACTCTTGGGCTTCCCAGCTTCCAAAACCAAAACCCAAATAAACTTCTGTTTATAAATTACTCAGTCTCAGGTATTTTGTGATAGCAATGGAAAACAGCAGATGAAAAAGGTACCAAGGAAAAAGCCTCTTTCTCTATCCGAAGTACCAGGAAAGGGGCAGCTTAATAAAACAGATACTTCAAACAACATCGTCCCTACTGCAGCCAAACAACACAGAGAGAGCAAAGGCTGGGCGGGGCCAAGATTCCACTCTGGCCTGCCTGTGGGGAGAGACCCATAGCTGCAGCAGGAGTGACAGTAGGCCAAGAAGTGCATGGGTCAGTAGAGGTCATAGGGTCACCCAGGGAGGCGACACCTCTTTGCCCTGCTGGCACAGTATCAGACGATGTCACTAAGATGAAGAACACAGGGCCAGGGAGATGGCTCAGTAGAATAAGTGCTTCCCTGGCAAGCACAAGGTCCTGAGTTCAATCCCTGGTTCTGCCAAAAAAATTAAATAAAATAAAATGAAGGACAGAAATAAGATCCATAGTTTCACAACATCACACTCCCACGTGTCCCAGATAGAACTGAAAAACACATACTACAGTGAAAACCAGGACAATCTTGGGATGAATGAGGAAAGGCAACCAGCAGACATCAATACTGAGCTAATACAGATTTTGGGATTGTCTGAAAAAGACTGCATTCATTCATTTATTTATTTTTGTGGTTCCAGGGATCAAATCCTGGACCTTGTGCATGCCATGCCTCCGAGCCTCAGCCCAGATCCTGACATGGATTTTAAAGTCACTGTGATGGACAGAGTAACGCCCTGCCCCCAGATACCCACACCTTGGTCCCCAGAACCTGTCAGTATGCTGCTCGTGAAGAAGTGATTAACATCAAAGGCAAAGCGCAGGTTGCTCATCAGCAGAAAGGGAGGTTATCCGGGTTATCTGGGCAGCCCCTATAATAAGAAGGGGCCATAAAAACTGAAGAGAGGCAGAGGCATGGGGCCAGAGACAAGGATGGACTGAGCTCAGAGAGACACTGCTCCAGAGGTGAAGACAGAGGCAGGAGGGAACCTTCCTGAAGCTGCAAAAGGCAAGGAAACAGGTTTTCTCCTGGAAGGAGGAACGCAGCACTGCGGACACCTGACCTTCTCTAGAGAATCCTTGTCAGACTTACGAGCCACAGAACTAGAAGACAGCAGATCTGTAGCATATTAAGCCATTACGTTTGTTGAAATTTGTTACAGCAGTAGAAATTACTACAGCAGTTATTAAGCAATTTTCAGTGAATACATATACATGTGTTTACACAATAAATTAGACTTATATATGGTCTATCTATCTATCTATCTATCTATCTATCTATATTTTAGTACTGGGGATTGAAACGAGCGAACTATTCATGCTAGGCAAGTGCTCTAGCACTGAGCTACATATCCAGCTATTCATTTAATTTTCTATTTTCAACTTTAAGACAGTTATCTCTCTAAATTGCCCCAGCTGGCCTCAAATTTCTGATTCGCTTACCTCAGACTCCTGAATAGCTGGGATGTCAGGTGCTGGCCACCATCCCAGATGCTGACCATGTGATCTGCCGTTGAGGATTACCACGATTTCAAGGCCAGCCTGGGTGACAGAGTGAGTTCAAGTTCAGCCTGAACTGCACAGTGAAACCCTGTCTCAAAAAGATGAAAAAGAAAAGAAGAACCTCTCACCCCCACTGGATGGGCTCAGTAGGGAGAATGGAGATAAAAGAAGCATCTGAAGCTGGGCTTGGTGGCGTACGCCTGTAATCCCAGCACTTGGGAGGCTGAGGCAAGAGGATCACTGCGAGTTCAAGGCCAGCCTGAGCCACACAGTTAGACCCTATCTCAACAACAAAAGAGGAATCTGTGAATGTGAAGACAGGATAGAAATTATTCAATTTGAACAACAGGAGAGAAAAAACAAACAAAACAGGCAAAGCAAACCAAGCCAGGTAGAGCAGAGCCTTGGACTTCTAGGAGACTATACCATGAGTATAGGAGACTCAACCATGAACCAAGATCTAACTTCCCAGTCCTTTGCAAAGTGCGGGGCTAAAGATGTCTTCAAAGCTAGCATGGCTGGAAATTTATCAAATTTGGTGAAAAATACAAATATACAGATTGCAGCAGCTGAGCTGACCCCAAGCAGGATCTGCCTGCAGAGATCCACACCACGCTAGGCCACGTCGGAGTCCTAAAAACTGCAGACAGCTGAAAGCACAGACAGCTCCTGACTATGAGGGATGGAAATTCACCAGAGAGCGGATTTCTCATGAGGAATGATGGAAGCCAGAGGAGGCTGCTCATTTTCAAGTGGAAGAAAAACCCTGGATGAACTCTATACCCAGGGAACTCTTGAGTGAAGAGGTAAGCAAGGCACTGTCAGACGAGGAAAGCTAAGGGCGCTTATCTCCAGCGGCCCAAGAGCGGCCCAAGGAAGCACTTCCAGTGGAAAGACCACGGCAAACAAGGGGGCCTCCACCAGGAAGGAAGAGCAACATGGGGTGTGAGGGGCGCTCCTTTCCCCTCAAGGCTGGCTTCTGTCTGTGAAGTAGGAGGGAAGGCCTTCGGTGCTTCAGGCATGGAGGCGGGGGCTCTGCCGCTTCATCTCCAGCCCTTCCTGCTCAAGCCGTGTTTGATGGTCAGAACAAAGACTGTGATGTGCTATATAGACAGGATGGTGTATAGAGAGGACACAGTAAAGTCACTTTACAGATGAGGAAGGCAACACGGACTGAACAACTGGCAATCCCAGCAAACTATGAGTCCATAAAATTTCTTTTCAATTACAATAGTTTCCTTTGTAGCCAGGCACGGTGGCATATAACTAATCCTAGCACTCAGGAGGCTGAAGCAGGAGGATTGCTGTGAGTTTAAGTCCGGTCTGGGCGACATAATGAGCCCCTGTTTCGAGCCTGCCTCTACAAAAAAACTCCAAAATAAACCACAAAAGGTAATTTCTCTTCCTTGCCAATGTAATGTGATACAGTTTTTTTTTGGGGGGGGCGGGGAAAGGTGCACACTCCAAAAACAAGTGAAATTATTTTTTTCCAATTTTAAAAACTATATAATAACACTTTTCCATAAAAAAGAGAAAAAACACTAACCAAATCAGATTTCCAGTTTTATCGCTTCAGTGCTTTCCATCTCAAGTAAACATTTTACAACAGCTTGCATGGCCATAAAGTGATCTCTCTTACTGTCACTCCTGGGTCCCCCTTGGTCCCTCTCCCTCCCTGCACCTCTCTCAGTTCAGACCAGTCCTTTTGTTTTGTGGTACCAGGGATCGAACTTGGGACCTTGCACATGCCAGTCAGGTGCTTAGGCCACTGAGCTGTCTCCCCGGCCCTCAGATCAGTCTTCAACTTGAGCTGATCCTTCTGCCCCAGCCTGCCAAGTGCTGGGATGACAGGCGTGTACCACCATCCTTGTTATTTTACAAATGCTGCCAGTGGCTGCCCCTTGCCCCCACCCCCCAGATGTCCCTCCTGTGCTGTTGGTGTGGCTGGGAGAGGACACTGCGGTCTCTCACTCTAGTCCTGGCACCAGGGCAACAGAAGGAAAGCAAGCTGCTTCTCTTGTACCCTGGAGGGGGTGAGATTTAGCTCAGCAGTAGAATGCTTGCCTAGCAAGCTGGAAGCCCTGGGTTTGGTCCTCGGCACCAAAACCAAACACACACCTCAAAAAACAACAACAAAGAATCTCTTACCCTGGAAGCCCAGGTCCTCCCAGTGGTCTCCGTGGAGGGCACAATTAAACCTAGAGCCGGTCAGCTTCTTGTAGATGGTCTGGAGGACTTGGCCGTGCACGGGGTCTTGGCTATCCAGGCCACCTGTTCCGAAACACACCCACACTCTGCCTGAGTGAGCCTCAGGGAGGACCAGGCACACAGCAGAACAGGCTTGCCCACCCGCACAGTACATGCAAAGCCCTGCGTGGCGCAGCTGCAGCCACGTACGGTGGGCTGCGCCTCCCGATCATTCTCGTCTCTTGCCCTGCAGCATCCCACGCACTGACTCACACTGTGCAATGGTCAGGACCAAGTCCCTCTCTTCCCGAAGACCCTGGTGGAGCTTTGGTGGCCCAAAGAGGCAGTGCCGGAGGGCAGCGAGCCCAGTCCTTCGAACGGTTGGCTGGATTCTCTCCTGGGGAGGGAGTCGGTGCAATGGGCAGAGCGCGGGCCTTGCCCCCTTGCCAAGCTTACCACTGGCCTTGGAGCTGTTCTCTTCTCCCAGCTAGGTGGCCGCTCTCAGGGCCAGGGTCAGGGCAGCAGCTACGAAGCACTGCTGGGTCCCCAGGCACAGGCTCTTCCCGCTCCCACTTCTCTGAACCTCCAGGCATCCCCGCAGCCATGGGCACCACCAGGAAGTTCCCTGGGTCTGGTCTTTCAGGGTTTTTCAGAACCAGCTATGCAACTAACTCCCCTGTAGGGCACTGTCACATGCCTTGGCAGGCCCCACCCCACTCCCAGGGGCCAGAGGCAAGCCAGGCTGGGTGCCCAGCAAGGCTGTCTCAACACTTCCTAGGCCATCCCTTTCACTCTGAAGCCCTGAATTATACAATCTAGCACCCCCTCAGCTTTGGGTGGGAAGGCTGGGCGGGGGAGCTGAGAGGACACTAGAGACAGATGCCTCTGAGGACAGTGACAGCCTCAGGCCACGACCATCACTGTCCCAACTAGGCCACACTGGCCTCATACGTAGCCTCTTAGAATATTATTTTTGGTAGCTTCAGGCCCTCTGGACCCCACCAACTAACTCAGTTTCTGTCTTCAGCCTCTCCTGCCTTAGACGGATTTTGAAAACCTGAAATCTCTTTCCTTTAAACTTCCTAATGGTCACTCAAGATGTCCTAAAGAGAGCCCCAGCTTTTATTCTCCCAAATGGTCATCATCTCATTCTTTTTTTTTGGGGGGGGTGGGGAGGGTGGAACCAGGGATTGAACTCAGGCCCTTGCACTTGCCAGGCAAAGAATTATTCTACTAAGCCATCTCCCCAGCCCTATCATCTCATTCTTAAACTCCCAAACGGCTCCTGGCTCTTTGAGTAGATTTTCATTCACTGGCTGCAATTCTCTCAGCTCCTGGGCAGTTTGCCTCTTCTGCCCTGGGAGCTACGACCCCTGGAGGTAAGAGCAGGAGACAAACGATAAGGCCACATGGGTTCCCGGGGGCACAGTCCCACTAGGGCGACCAGGGCCCTGCACAAATCCTGAGTCCTTGGCCACCCATGACCCTGTGCCCCAAGATTTCTCCGGTCACGCTGGGCCCTCAACCGGACGCTTCCACTCGCCTGCCCAGTGTCCTACCCAGGTGGGGAGGAGAAGCTCACTTGAGACCCCACTGCCTTTCCGCTGTACCTTGAAGGAGGACAGGTCCAGAGTCTGGAAATGCTGCAAGACCTCTGCAAAGGAGATGAGCTGCTCTGGCTGGGCTGAGAAGACCTGGCTCCCTGGAGCAAAGGGGAAGGCGCTTAAGGGCTTGCAGCAGTAGCCATTCGGGCAGCGGGCCTTCTCATTGTCACCTCCAGGCCACACACTGGTTTCTAGCTAGAGAGGGGACACCTCCACCCACAGCACATTCTCTTCTAGGGAGCTGGCATTACCCACTAGCTTTTTTTTTTTTTTTTTTGCGGAACCGGGTATTGAACTCAGGCCTTTGTGCTTGCCACTTACTTTACTGAGCTATCTTCCCAGCCCATGCAGCCCATGCAGCCTCTTTTGCATGAGGCTGTTCAGAGTCTTGCTGGTTGTCCTGCATGATGAACAGGGGACACACCTGTCCTGCCTGGTACTCCCTACATCCATATGGGGGGAGCAAGTCACTGCCGGGAGGAGGCACCCACACAGGGGTGTCCCTTCTCATGCCTGTGCAGGACGCCCCACCTGTCACAGCCTGGAGGGAATGAATGTACATCAGCTGCAATACAGGCAACGGTGACACCGTTCACTGAATGCCTTCCTGAATGAAGCTCGGTGGAGCTCAGGCCCAAGCCAGCTCCAAGTTCTGCCCTCCTGTAGCTCTGTCCAAACTGGCGGGAAGGGACCCAAGACAGCTTCTACCCAGCCTTCGGAGCCCTCCAGTGGATTCCTCTAGCCCCGCTGAGGACCCTGCTTGTTTACTACATAGCCTGACATGGCGCAGGATGGGATCTGGGCTGTTTGCCTCTTTCCTTCTACCCCCTCTTACCTGTAGAGCTGACTCTGACCAAGGGACCCTCATGAGGAACCCTGTGTTCCTTCACGGCTGAGCAGAAGATGGACAGGGATGGCAACCCCTCCCTGTGGCACCCCCTCCCTGTGGCACCTATGCCCATTTCCCCTGCAGGCAGATGGCAGCGCCTTCGAATTGGGGAAGAGACCTCAGGTCACACAGGAAAAATAACACTAGAGAATTCCGTCTCCTGATGCCCCATCACAGACGGATCAGCCACACGTGAGGATGGTGACTTTGCTAGCAGCCGGGTCACGCAGCAACACGGCCATCCCCATGGTTACCTGCATCCGGCTGGATGGTGTCCACAGCTTCCCACTCTTCCTGGGCTCTGAGCACCTCTGGGCTGACAGCTGCAGTGGGGTGAGGAGGAGACCCGTGAGCCCTAGGTGTGTTCGGGCCACTGTCATGGACCCCAGCCTTGGCTGGCTGCCTTGAATCTTGTCGTCTCCTCACTACTCTTTGCATGGAGACAGTGTGAGCTTGAAAGGGCAGCTCTGCTATCCCCACCTGCTCTTCCACGCTCTCCAGGGGGTCTCCCTAACCCTCAGGAGAGCCCACACTTGACAGCACAGCACCTAAGTCCCTGAACAGTTCTAGCGCTGCAGAGAAGGCTGAAGTCCTCACTGTTCTCTGTCCTCACCCACCATGGAGCCTCCCAGGCCGGCTGGCCTTCATCCCGTACCTGCCGCTGCAGCCTCCCGTCATCCCTGTTGGCTCCAGCATCTCCCTCACCCAGGTGCCTTCTTAATTACTTCCGTCTGAGCAGCAGCCCCTGCTGTGTGGGGCATTGACACCCTGGGCTGACTACAGGGCAGACCTCACTCTCCCACTATGCTGTGAGCTCTGCAGAGCACAGCACAGTGCCTGACGCACGACAGGTACTCAACAAACGACTGACGAAAGGAGGAATGAGTGAGTGAGTGAGTGACTGAAAGCACTGGAAGAGGAGGAAAGGGTAGGAGAAAAGCAGCAGCCAGACAGGCTCTCTACCGCTACCACAGTTCACTTCCCTAAATCACGACTATCACCCTATGGTGGAAATTACCAGTGATGTCCTCTGTCACTAGGTTTTTTCCAATTTGTTATACAAGACATCAACACACAATGTCAGGCTGGCCAAATAGCTCAATGGATTAAAGCGCCTGCTTAAGCAGACTCAGGGGCCAGGGGTTCAATCCCCAGGCCTGCTGTGCTGGCCCGACCCCTGGGGAATGCTGAGACAGCAATTGAGAGTGGGCGTGATGGTGCATGCCTGGAATCTCAGCACTTGGAAGGCTGTAAATAGGAGAATCACTCCAAGTCTAATCTATGCAGTGATACCCTGTAGGCCCTGTCCTAAATACAAAACACACACACACACACACACCAGACAATGTCAAGCAAGGGGCCTTCACTACCAAAACGGAGGATCCAGCCAGGCGTGGTGGTACACGTCTGTGACACCAGCACTTGGGAGGCTGAGGGATGAGGACTGCCATGAGTTTGAGGCCAGCCTACACTGTAGAGTGGGTTTAAGGCCAGCCTGGGCAACACAGTTGTCAATAAATAAGTAGCCTGGGGATACTGCCTGGTGTGGAGGTCCTGGTTTCCATCTCCGTACCAAAACCAAACCAAACCAAGAGTCTCTCCAGCTACAGTGGTAAAGTGGGTCAGAACAGCCCCTCTCAGCCTCATGACCTTGGCTGAGGCCATCACAAGATGAGATACCACCAGGCGAGGGCAATGTTTAGAGTTGGGGCCTTTGGAGGTAGGTAGAGCTAGAAAGGGTCACCAGGTGGCTCTCCGATGACAAGAGACCAGAGGAGACATATGTGTGCTCCTTGTTTCTTGCTATGTGACGTCCTACAGTACCATGGGGTTTTGCCACTGAGAAGCCATCACCAAGGCAGCCCTATGACACTGTGAACACATCTGTGAGGCCAAACAAGACTCTTTTCTTTATAAAGCTACCAAGCCTCAGGCACTTCATTACAGCAATGAGAAAAAGGATGAAGACAGAGAACATACTTGAAGGCTAAACAAAGTGCTACCAAATACTAGTAGAAAATTAGGGGGCCCGGGGAGATAGCTCAGTAGAATAAGCACTTGCCTGGCAAGCGCAGGGTCCTGAGTTCAATCCCCGGTACCACAAAAAAAGAAAGAAAGAAAATTATGAAGAAAAAGTGGGGGGAAAGCAGTAGAAAAGTTGCCAAAAGCACACTGGAGAGCCAAACTGTGTGTAAAGGTTTCTACAAACTTTCCACAAAAATTAGCTCAAATGGGGCTGGAGAGATGACTCAGTGGAATAAGTGCTTCTCTGGCGAGCGCAAGGGCCTAAGTTCAATCCCAGGTTCCACAAAAAAAAAAAAAAAAAATTAGCTCAATTACTTCAGGCAAGTTACTTAATCAACTGAATCCCTTCATGGGGCTGCTGTGCCATTGAGGCAATTCTCCAGCCTCCTAGGAGAGTGTGCTGGCCAAAGTTCAGGGCTCAGTGTCTGTCAGCTATCACGACTATCACAGCTGTGGGCTCAGGGCCACACGGCCGGCAGGGCAGGGAACAGCGTGAGCAGTGAGACGGGACCAAGGTCCTCGGTGTCTGACCTCCCTGCCTTCACCTCTCACATACATACAGCTTCCCTGATGCCTCACCCTTTGGAGGGGCACCTCCAGGCAGTGAGACCAATCTTTCAGCCAATGCTCCCTCTCCTACATTTAACTGGACCAAAGGCAGAGCAGCAGAGGCAGCCCAGGGTGGGAATCTGTCACAGGCACTGGTCAACAGAAAGTACAAGGGCTCAGCTGGGAGTATTGAGCTGGTGATCAAACACTAGCGACAAACACTGAAACCAGGTGAGAGCTTTTCCTGCCCTCTTGAACAACCCTCCCACCTCTGAAAGTGACCTGACACAAAGACCACTTTCCTTGACCCACAGAAGAACACAGGGCATCAGACAAAACTTTAGGAATGAACACAGCTCATGTCAGAGTAAGCCTCCATTTCTTTCCCTTTTGAATTACCTCCTTCTGCCGTTCTTGTTTATTTCTAAACTGAAGCACAGTGGTGATTTAATCAGCCTATTAATTCAAATTAGACAAGAATAATATGAAAAATATGACAGTTATTTAATATGACTAAAAGAGCAGGCACAATGCTAGCTCTACTAAATATATAAAATACTTCGGTATTTGTTTTTTTTTTAATTTATTTATTTTACATTTATTTATTGTATGTGTGGCCAGCTCAGCCCACCAGGGGGCGAGGCTGGCTGGCATGTGCTGGGGGATCGAACCGTGGTCCATGTGCTTTGCTAAGCTTGTTCTAAGTAGGTGCTTTAGACCACTGAGCCATCTCACCAGCAATACTTTGGTATTTGTGATAAAAGTTATTAGCTTATCAGTGGTGGACTGGCCACCATATCATAGAGACAAAATTCCATTAAGAGATACTTTGTAGGGCTGGGGATGTGGCTCAGTGGAAGAACATCACCTAGCATGTAGGAGGCCCAGGGGAATCACTACAGAAAGGAAAACTGGAGGGAAGGAGGGAGGGAGGGAGAGGGGAAGGAGGAAGAGAGAGAAAAGTTGACGGATTCCAAATGAGTTGGTTTTTTTTTTTTCCAAATAAGTTTTGCACATTCAAGTATTTATAAAAGCTCAGTATTTCTGGAGATTATATTTTCAGTATGCAGGATTTAAAGACAAAATTATACAACAATAAACACCACAATTTATATTGTGGGTAAAGCACTTTATCTACAGTTAAACCTTACAAAGTTGCTATCATTTGTGTTCTGATATAATCTATTGTTCAAATTTACTTCTATTCTGCTGTGCTAGAGGTCAAAGCCAGGGCTTTGTGCACGCCAGGCAAGCGCCCCGCCACTGCCAGCCCGTCTGTCTTCCAACTGAGGAAAGGAAGATTAGAAAAATACAGTGATTTTCTCAAAGGCTTGGAGGTGAGAGAGCGGCTCTTACTCCAGAAAGATGCTTCTGCATTATGAGGGCCTTTCTCCACGACAAACCAGCAAGTGGAATGAGCTTTAAACATAGCGCAAGGTGAGCTGTGCGGCAGGCGCCTGCAACCCTAGCACCCGGAAGGCTGAGGCAAGCTGACTCTATGGTTAACGCCAGCCTGCATGACACAGCAAGGACCTGTCCCCAAAAAACAAAACAACATACAGAAACACACAAACAATGACTGGGCTGGGGGGCTGGTGAGATGGCTCAGTGGTCTAAAGCACCTACTTAGAACAAGCTCAGCAAAGCACAGGGACCGCGGTTCAGCACCACATGCCAGCCAGCCCTGCCCCCTGGCGGGCTGAGCTGGACACACACACACACACACACACACACACACACATAAATAAATAAATAAAATTTTTAAAAAATGACTGGGCTGGGGATACAGCTCAGTCACAAGCGCAAGGTCCTGAGTCCACTACCAATAACTAAAATAATACAGTACAGTACAGTACAGGAAACAGCTTGTAAAGCAGATAAAGTATGACATCTTCCCGAAGTCTTTTCACATATACTACATCATTTTCTTTCCTTTTTTTTTTTTTGTGGTGTTGTGGATTGACCTAGAGCCTTCACATTGCAGCACATCTCAAACCTTTTTGTACTTTTTGAGACAAAACTTGTTAAATCACTAAGTTGCCCAGCTTGAGTTTGAACCTGGGATCATCCTGCCTCAGCCTCCCAAAGTGCTCAGATTACAGGCATGAATAGCCGTGCTTGGCTATACTCATTTTCATAGTACCTTTTAGGGAATAAAACAGGAATCATTGCCAGGCATGACAGCACCCAGGAGGCCGAAGCAGGAGAACCACCATGAGTCCAAGGCCAGCCTGGGCTACATAGTGAGACCCTCTCAACCCCCAAATGAGAGAGGTATTATTACTGCCACGACATTATTTCCATAGAAATTACATGACAACCCTGGAAGCACACTGTAGACTGGAAAGTTTAGCAGAGAAATTGACCCCTAATCCAGCACTGATTGTATTTTCCCTGAGGAATGATTCATCTACAAAGTTCGGGGCAAAGAGCAAGGGGAAGTCAAATGGTGAAAAGCAGGTCCCACCCAGACTCCCAGGGCCCAGAGGAGGTTCTTACCACCTGGCTCCCAGTCATTCGCTTCTGCAGTCAGGGCCCGCAGAACACCGCGCTGCCTTAGCTCTGAAATCTGGAGGGAGCAGGTGCCTTTTAGAGACGGTCAAGTCCTGCCCCTGGCACGTCCCACCCCTCTATTGAGCATCCTCGAATCTAGGAGCCCCACAGATCTGGTCTGCCTGCCTCGATGGGTTGAGGAAAGTCAACATTTTAGCCACAGGGGGAGGCGCACACCTGCAATCCCACAACTTGGGAGGCTGTGGGAAGAGAACTGCCCTGCAGTTTGAGGCCAGTCTAGGCTACGTGGTGAGTTCAAGACCAGCCTAAGGTGCAGAGTAAGACCCAGTTTCAAAAAACAAGAACAAAAAAATACAGTCAATTTTTTGTTTTGTTTTTTTTGGTAATAAATATTGAACCAATGGCCTTGGTGCATGCTGTGCATGTGCAGTACCACTGAGTTACACCCCCAGCCCGAAAGTCAAACTTGAGGCACCCAGGCAACTTCCACCATGACAGAGGAGCTGTGTAACATGGGCAATAAGTGTGTGCCCGCTGTGAGAGTAAATAAACAAAATTCCACACCACCCATCTAGACTGTGGTATGCCTCTGGTATTCCCGCTACTTTCTTTTTTTTCCTTTCCTTTTTTTTTCTTTTTTATGCGGAACCAGGGATTGAACTCAGGCCCTTGCACTGCCAGGCCAATGCTTATTCTACTGAGCCATCTCCCCGGCCCCCTATCCCCGCTATTTTATATCCTCTGCTTCACGGTGGCAATTGTGCGACAGAACTGTGAGCTTCTGGAAGCAGGGCCTATGCTTTCCTGTGTCCCCAGGGCCTGCACAGAGCCTGGCACCCCACAGGAGCACAGAGCAGAGCCTGCACTGGTAGAGGAACTGAAGTGTGGGTGATACGTACAGGGACCCCCCTGAAGGCCGCAAGAGCGCTGTTGTTCTTGTCATGTGGTGGAGAGCACCCCGAAGACACTCTTTCAACCTGTAAGACAGACTGGAATCAAGCTTCCAGGCACATACCAATCCCCCAGACCGCAGCTGAGAGGTTGCCCCTTTCCCCAGAATCACACAAGAATGAGTTCCAGAGAAATCAGCTACAAGAAATACTTGACTTTGGGAAAAAGCCTCAGTTTAATATGGTCTGAGGAAAATCTGCAAGCTGGGAGTATAGCTCAGGTAGCTCAGTACCTGCCTAGCAAGTACAAGGCCCTGGGCTTGATCACCAGCACTGCATCCCTCCACAGGTACCCACACAGAAAAAAAAAAAAAAAAAAGAAATGAAAGACTG